AGAGAGAGATGAAGCCCTATCTCTCCCTCTCTGTCTGTCTCCCTCTGTCTCTCTCAAGGCTTTCTTTTTAAAACCTGTTTATTGTTTATTTAAAATCAGATTAGAAAAAGGAGATCCATTGTGAGGAAAAGAAAAAGAAGATTTATATAATAATAAACAATGAAGTTCGGAATCCTGTCAAGGAATGCATACACTGGGAGTATGAGTTTTTAGGATAACACAGAATATTAACAAAGTATTCGAGTAATAAATATCTGAACAATTGCAATCCTCGCAGCCATACTTGTTGGTCAATCTCACAGTTTCTAGCTGTTCGTTTGACTTGAAATAATATGAGCTAGGTTATACATGTACAAGACTTTGTGCACTCTCAATGTACTCTCAAAGTAACGCTTCTATTACCACGTAGGTTTTCTCAAGATATTTTCAAGGTGTGAGTTACGAAATTAGATTAGCAACTATGATGGCATTAGTAGACACAGTTGGTTGCTCCTGAATGGAGCTCACGGTTCCTGCTGACCTTGACACTTGACAGACTCACGACTGCCATCCAGGGCACACAAGGGGCCTTTCGAAGCTCCCATTCGGCAAACCTGCTAGGCGAATTCATCCCTCACCATTTTAGCTTCAGGAGACAATGATGTTTGCGCTCCAGGAGCATTACATTCTATGGTGCTCAAGCAGCTCAAATATCACCCGGGACACAAACGTACACTGATGCTCCGTTTCCAGCGCGACAAACATCTTGTGAGGCCTTGGGTAGCAGCGTGGGTCAGCGTCGCTCATGGAGTGGTGCAAGACACCAAGAGCCAGTAGCTATTCACACGACTGTCACTCCCAGCAACTAGTGGCACATCCACACGAGGGACCACAATACGAACGTAGAAGTAGTGATTTCGGCGGTGAGAAGCAACGTTCAGCAGCAAAAACCCACAGGAGTAGCTATAGTCAATGGCTCAATTCTTAACACCTGCAGTGCATGCACAAGTGTGGAGTCAACACGTTCACTTGTTAACTTGTATCAAATCCTGCCAAGCTTGTGCCCTCTGCCGCCATACTGTTCAGTCTCACGTAACCCCACTCATCCTTGGGAAGCTCTCGCATTGGGCTCAGTCTATTCAGTTCTGCGGCCCTGCGTGTATCCATTCCTGCTCTATTGGTCAGCGTCACGTACCCGCACTCGTCCCTGGGAAGCTCTTGCACCCTGCTTGCCTCGTGTTCTGCCTCCATTGCACCCATTGGCGCCATTGTTGTCATGTCACTCGGCTTCAAGAAACCGTACTCATCCTTAGGAAGTGCTTGTGCCAAAAGGTTGCCTTGGCTAGTCCCGGAACTGGGGTTCATGTTAGGAGAGGGCAGTGACTTCACGGCTTCACCAGCGTCAGTCTGATCCAGCGACTCACTGCAAAACACACACACACACACACAACCATAGAGCAGAATATATTATGCAGAGCTCAGTGACCAGTCACAGTCCACGTGACCAGTCAAACAGTTACACATGCCCAAAAAGCAGTCACAGATTGGTCACAGAGTCCTACTTATAGACTACAGTACTCTTCCCGAGATTTGCTACATGCAGTATGAAGTCTGGTGAGGCCAGAGTCCAACGTCCTATATTGTGTGCGCATGTTTGTGTATGTGTGTGCGTGTGTGTGTGTGTGTGTGTGTATGTGTGCTGGAGTGGGGGGTATATCACCTGGCCAATAGCCAATACATACTCGAAGTGTACATGTGTTGATGTCATGGCAGCTCTATGATGTTGCTGCCAATGATTCCGTCAGGCATTGTCATGGCCTGGGTGACGGACAAACCTTGAAACAAGGCCGATTATGTCATGGATAGGTGCCAGTATCTCCATGTGTCTCCCGAGGTGTGGGTAATGAGCGAGTGGATGCTGTTCAAAAACCATGCAGCTAGAAAATGAACCTCTGTCTCTATCAGATCACGTAAATCACAACGTGCTTTTGTATCTTGTGACCAGACTCTCCCATACCTTGTTATCGTTGATTGGTCTACATGGGCAACATGTGAAGTCACTGTGTCAGTTGACCTAGTTGTAATCCTGCGCTCAGATGGCAGCAGGCCAGCTGGAAGTTGGCTGCCTGGCTGCTGTGCATAGGTCGCCATATTGCTACTCCCTGCTAAGCAGCATTGTGATACCGCTTGCTCGGAGGTGCAGCCAATCTGACGGACTGGCTCATGGGGCAGTACATCAACCTTGTGGCATGGAGCAATCCTAAGAAATTTTTGTGAAAACAGGCAAAAAGAAACATGGGCAATGAGCTAAACTAGCAACCCTTTCCTTACCCTAACTCTAGCCTCCTCCCACTCCCTGCCCCCCCCCCCACACACACACACACCCCCGGGCACACGCACACTGAGTAAATGAAAGGCCTTTGGATTGTTGCTTGCAATGGAATTCCCATATGTATGTGTAGATCCACATTCAGCACATACACACCTCGAACAATCTTACCATACCTTGAACCAGGAGCATATCCACTTCCTCTTCCTTCGGGTTGGCCAGATTTCGGTGATCGGCGCACTGTACTCGTGTCTATGTACGTTCCTTCTTCATCAGGAATGGCAACTTCACGACCAGTGGCTGCGTAGACAGTGCATGACAGTGCAATCTGATCGGGCAATGGCGGAGTCAGATTGCCCACATGAGCACTAGCAAAAGCAGCTGCAGGTGATTCTATGGTCAGTTTGCCTCCGTTGTCTCCGATGCCATGATCCCGATGCTGCTTCATGTTTTCAGTCGGTTTACTCAGACTGGCCCACATGTAAGCTATCCGCCGGTCGAATTTTTCCCATTCGTCAACAACCTCGTAGATACTGTCTTCTCCGCCTGTGCCCGGAGAGTAAGGCTGGACAACGCCGCCTACTTCATCACAGGCCCCGTCTTCCTCCTCTTCTTCCTCTTCAGTCGTCGGCGCAATGGGCTCAACTTCCTGGCGCTGGATGATGTCGCGCACCGTTGTGTGGATCTCCTGGGTGCGAAGAATGAAGTACTCGTAATTCAGGCGTTTTCTCCCGTCCCTATATGGCAACGAGCAAACATGGAAAGTATGGAACATGGGAACGTCTGGTGTCAGTGAGTCAGGATGATGGTCTGGTGTCAGTGAGTCAGGATGATGGTTTCATTGATTTTATTGTTATTGTAACCACTGACTGACAAAAGTTAATACCAAAGTTCTGAAAATAGCATGCTTCCAGAATATACATGCACCAGACGAAAATATCTCTGCATCAGAATTTTTTACGGACAAAGTTAAATGTTCTTTGATTAATGTGCAACAGTTGGGGAGGCCTATTGACACTAATGCAATCTTTGGATTTCGCAAATTGTCATCACCAAACAGAACACTGCAACTCACGTATGCCATCGGAAAAAAAACCTACTACACTACTGGATGTACATGTACAGGAACAGCTTGTGGAAAGTGAGGTCACAAGCCATGAACACATTCCGCGCCATGAACCGATTTTAATGTTGACTCCAGACGTTACACCTTCCACCTTGCCTAAACTCAATACTAGCAAGCCAGATACGAAAGAAGCGAATACTTTGAAATCCTCTGTGAGTCCAAATTTGACCTTGCCTAAAATTGTCAAAACTATACTCAGTATTAGGGGACCAATTTGCGACACGGAAATCAACGCAACAACATGTTACCACTTCAAAGTATCATATGCCTACTGCAAGTACATGCGCACTTTACTCCTTTAAAAAAGAAGTCGGTCAATGAGTATGCATCATGAGAGCTCACTATGACAGAGGGAGAATTCTGAATTACTTAGCTTACCTAGTATCCTCTTTGACCAGGTCTTTCAGGTCCGGATGTTGTTGTGTCATACGGGCAGTATAGGATCGCAAGCGTGTTGCCTGCATGACTGGTTCCGTAGCGAGCGGTCCTGCGGCCATTCCAAGCTCCTTGTCACGAGCGATGTCCCTCTCTAGCTGCGCTTTTGCTGCTTCAGCAGTGAGCAGAAGAGCGTGCGACTGGAATAGTGACTTGCATGCGCTGATGCCATGAATCTTGCGACAGTTGTCCATGACTGGGTCAAGAAAGGCAACGCCAGAGAGTTCCTTCCATGTGGACTTGTGGCTCTGCACATGCGTCTTGAAGTAGTTGCTGGCCAGCAATAACGAATTCTTCTCTCGGTCCCGTGTTTGTTTGACAATGCTATGCCAGGGTTGCGGAGGAACTGGCCGGCCCGGCAGGTTGAGTGACCGGTGAGCAAGATACAAGAACGGTTGATCCACGCCGTGGGTATGGTCTGCAGATGTGAAGAAAACCGGAATGGCATACTTGCCATTGATGACACTCAGTTTTCCTGAGGAGAATGTCTTGTCGCAACTGGAGAATGGCTTTAGGAAGACGTTCTGTTTTCGGTTTGGTGGCAAGAATGATGCAGGCAGTGCTGCTTCACTGGTTGGAGATGTTATACCCTGGAAATGCCTGACCACGTCGAATGCCCTGTCGAGGTGATATTTCCGCTTCGGCAATGTATCACACTTGGTCAGAGCTATCGCGCAGGCTTTCTTCTTTTTCTCGGGAATGTGCCTCCAGCACTCGGTGAAGATTTGCCACTGCAGTTTGCGTTGCTCGGCGGACTTGGATGGATCCAGGACAAACAAGTAACCATCAACGCCATCCTTGCCGGCATACTCTCGAGGAAGTGGCTGTGGAACCATGTCGATCACAGTGTACGCTTCGTCTTCTCCGAGAAACGAGCGGCAAGCGTAAGAATGCTTGCCCGGAGACTTCAGACTCGGCCTTGCTGCTCGCTTCTCATACTGGTCACCTCCAGCAAAGGTTTGACCCATACTGTCTTCCAGGAATGTAGTGTGTTCCACAACATTGATCTTCAAGTTGACCTTGTGTGAACTGAACTTTGCCCTGGGCAGGTACAGTCGCTTTGCAGCTCCAAAGTAGACGAAATGATCTCCATTGATTTCCGCCTCGGAGAAGTCAGTCTGGCTCAGCCAGTGCGAGTGATCGTGACCCAGTTCTAGCCAGGTATCCACGCCTGGATGAATGAATCTGCTACAGAGACTAGACTTGCCCACTCCACTCTCGCCATGATCCAGCATTGAGCAGCACGTCCCCAGGACGGCCAGTCTGCACTCCAGGGTGGAATACTTCTCCTCACTTTGCGGACGTCGGACATTTGCCATCTTGAGCCGAAATTTGGGATTCCCTCGGATTGCTCGTCGCTATCCTGTAGACCTACTAGTTGTGGATGCGGAGCGGCTGATTCTCTGTCTCAGAAACGGGTAATGCTCTCAACTTCTCGGCGAACAGCACAAAACGCACGTGCACTGACTGACACAGTCCTTCACTCGTGTAGTGGAGCGTTGTTCTTACAACTTGGACTGTGTTGTGCTGTGTCCTCAAGCCAAGCACAAGCCAAGCACAAGTGGGCAGTGTGCGACTCACTTTCTTCTGGAATACTACTACTAGCAATAGAGCGCCACACGTACCACCACCACTAGCACCACTAGTAGTACTAGTAGTGCTGGGGAACATCTGGTGAGGGAACTCGGGAAACCTAACACCTTACGAAGTAATGATTATTATGTGACTGACGGCTACTGTGACAGACTCAGTCACTTTACTTCACACACACACACACACACACACACACACACACACACACACACACACACACACACACACACACACACACACACACACACACACACACACACACACACACACACACACACACACACACACACACACTACTACTACTACTATGTACAACTGCCACAAAATGGCCACGTCACACACACACACACACACACATACGCCACGGACAGTCTCAGATTGTGGCGGCTTGTCAGCCATGCCATGCGCCAGGCCAGGGTGTTGGCCCTTACTGGCCTTAGGCGCTAGGCGGCAAGTAGCTTGATGCATTGACCCTCACTCAGTCCGAGTCACTGTCGCCTAGGCCCCCGATGCAACGCGGTTGTACACTGCTTGTTACAACTACCGGTAGTTATGCACATTAGGCATTTTCTGTCCTTTCACGCCGCTGTCACCTCAAACAGCAACAGTTACTGCTTGCAAAATGTTTATCCTTTGGCTTTGCGGCTACTACATGTAGATGTACATGTACACGTAGCACTACCAGTCCTGTACTTATTCTGCAATCTGAAGATCTACTGTGCTCTGACATTGCGGCCGTAAAAACTGCCTGGTCTAATCCTGAGCTAAGTCTGCGCTCTCAGTTATGCCTTGATTTTCTTTTGTGGGAGTTAGTTCCTGCTTTTTTGTGCCATGCTTTAGAACGTTCAGCTGAACTTGGGTCTTGCTTCAGCTTGCTTGAAAGTTTGGTTGGCTGTTGGCATGAGATGAAATTAATGAAACAGTAAACACAGTGGTAGTCTTCGTATACAGTAACGTTTGTGGGATTGCGGATCAAGACGTGCAAACACTGTTAGAAACACGGGATGAAAATAAAAATAATTTGCCGGAACCTCGAGCTCCCCCTCGTCTACACTGCACGTACTTCACCATACTTGACTGTCTAGCACGGTACGATAGGACGGAACCTCTCCATGCAAGCAATCACCCAGGGATCAGACACCGGTATGTATCGATTACCATATGCTGGTCTTGCCTGTGCGATAACTGATTTCTCGCAGTCACCCGTCAGAGCATTCATTCATTCATAACATTGAAGTCATGAAGTAATAATTTTCATTGTATGTACAAATCACTTCCCTGCAGCATCAAAGCTTCACAAGATCTTTAACAAGAACTCGGTGAAGGTGAGCTACAGTTGCTTACCGAATGTAGCCGCCATCATCCGCTGACACAACAACAAGCTACTCAGCCCACAACACGAAGACCTGCCATGCAACTGCCGAACGAAGCCTGACTGCCCTATGAGAGGAAAGTGCCAGACACAGCAGCTGGTCTACAAAGCCGAAGTGACAAGCAGTAATGTTTACCCAGCACGTGTGTACTTCGGAGCGACAGAGCCAACGTTCAAGACCCGGTACGGAAACCACAAGTACACATTCAACCACGAGCAGAGACGGAAGAGCACCGAACTATCCAAGTATGTCTGGAAATTGAAGGAGAGACATGAAGACTACTCGATCCAGTGGAGTATTTTAGGAACGAGCACGAGCCTACAGCAACATCAGCAAGAGGTGCCAACTTTGCCTTTCGGAGAACTTCCGGATCATAACCGCGGATAGAGAAACATGCCTCAACAAGAGAAGCGAGCTCATCTCGAAGTGTAGACATGCCGACAAAGTCTCGCTCGCAAACTACACTGGGGTCACGTGATGAGATACGCGGTGTTTTCACACACACACACACACACACACACACACACACACACACACACACACACACACACACACACACACACACACACACACACACACACACACACACACACACACACACACACACACACACACACACACATACACACACACACACACACACACACACACACACACACACACACACACACACACACAATATCTTTCTCATGCACCCACATGTACACCCTCACTCGTCCACACTCACACCAAACCACATATTGCGCCATTATCCACACTGGTATCTGCTATGTAACACAAACTACCCAGCCCTTTTGCGTGACACAACTCCCACTGAAACCTACTTAATTCCTGCGTCGGCTCTACATGTATCTCCCATCTTGGTTATAGCCATATACCTCAGCCATGACACTTGCACTCATATTACGCACAGTGTATTCCAGCGCTGATGTTATCTCCTCAAGCTTCGTGGTTGCGGCACTGCCTTAGCCGACATTACAATCACCCTATATAACTAGCGAATAGCATTATTGTGTTTTATCGTCTGAAGAGTGTTTTTTGAAACACGAAACTCGGAGTTACGAGAAAGATTTTTGGTCTCTGTTGTTCTGCCCTGTGTCATTGTATGTACATGTACATGAGTCATGGTATGATATAATCCAACACTAGTAAACCAGTATTAGATAAACCTTGTTGTAGTTCACGCAATTGTTAGATTGACAGCATGAAACAAGGTGGAGGGCACTGTGTTCGAAAACAGTGACCTTACTACAACCTACAACCTTCCTTACTACAACCTTCCCGGTCCCTGCGGACAGCTGACGAGCTGAGAGAAGGACGCCATGGGCAGAAGTTGGAAGAAAAAAGAAGTTTTTATACAAGTTAAAAAAGAGCGAAGACAACAAGACGACATCAGAAGTAGTCTCCTAACCCCCTAGCATAAAGAGGGTCAGAACCGAGTGCGATACCCATATGGTTCAAATGGTCCGCAGGGACCGGGGCTCTGCCAACCGCGGAAGGTTGTAGTAAGGTCACTGTTTTCGAACACAGTGTCCTCCACCTTGTTTCATGCTGTCAATCTAACAATTGCATGTACAGTCATGTACTAGTACTAGTACTTCGGAAGTACATGAGTGTACATGTAGATCTACCTGGTCAGGTATTACATGATGTAGTTGTGGAATGACCACCCTCAATGTGCGCATGTGCATATCACTTGTATTGTACACTATAATTATACAAAGGTACGAAATAGTGGTTGCGACTTCGGCGATGATTTGTAAGAAAAGGTTTGCTCCCCACACCGGAGGCTGCTCGCGCTATTCCGCCGACTTGACTTGACACTTGACTGACTCACGACTGTCATCCAGTATATATACAATGGTTTATAAAAAGAAATGAGGACCAAGGAACTGCAAGTTACGCCATAATGTCCACTAACACTACCTGTTACTTTACAATCAGTTCATGCGATAACATTGCACGACACTGACCAACGGTACGACCCAGCACAAAAGAGGCAAGTAATACGTCAAGCAAAAAAACAAGCATGCAGACCACACTCTCTCCCATGTACCCCTACGGCTTACCCTCTACTGATCTCGCAGTTGCATGTACATGTACAGTCATGTACATTGTATGGCCCCACAAACGCATGCGAGGGGTAAGGTGCAGGAGGAGGAGAAAAGACATAACATACATGCTGTCAGAGACATGAGGAGATGAAGTAGGAGGATATGTAACTGATCATCATTGTCAGTTGTCTGATAATTGCCGAAAGCTATGAAACCAATATTTATGATAAGTTGGTAACAACAACAAGCCTGGTGCTAGATACTCTGTAACTCACTCGTGGTAGGGGAGAGGATGTGGTGCCACTGGTGGGAGGGGAGTGGCTGTCGTGTGTTCGCAACGATATACATTCCTGACATAGCCTAAATGTAAGATGCACGGGGAGTATAGAGTTACAGTTCCATGACATAGGGTGCATGTTTCTTTGTGGTTTGTATGCTCACTGTCTTTGTGCAGAACCCTACACAGACCGTGCGTGGGAAGCTAAAAAAACAAAACATCAAAATTAAAATTAATGATCAAATGAAATAACTTAGTAGCTGTTAGATTTCAGGTGGCGATATTATGAGTCATCCTGCTGCTTCACATCCATGTGAATATACTTACCCGAGCGAGCGTCAACCACCCATTTATCAGCTATGTCCCGGGAGTCGTCCTGCTGTTCGCAAGTACCCTTTCCTGCCACATCACCAGTGCCTTTCAGAGAACATGATCGCACTGGAGCGGCTGGCGGCGGTGGATTCACATCGGCTGGCGTGCCTTCAACTCTGCAGCAGTAACAGTGGGAAAGGAATCATACTCATCAAAATGAGATCCGCATGCGGGCACGACAGGTACACGCCATGACAAAATCTGTAGGGTGGCCCCAGGTCGGCATTGCCCTTGGCGGATTATGTGGCAGAAGAAATTAGCACTTTACATCTCAATAAAACCTTCGTATCATGTCGCTTCAGCTGATTCTGTTTATTGCAATCTTAAAATTAGCAGAATTTGGTATTTTCCTGGTATATTTAATTAATGCATGACATTTACTTTGTTTTGTATGAATGTGGATAAAGAAATGGAGCAGAATTCAAGGAAGTGCCTGCCATAGTAGGGCTTGTATGGTTCTGCCAATTTCATCCATGATTGCTTTTTGAGCAGAATCGGGCAATTTTTCCAGCATTATCCGCCTAGCATTCTGGTGTTTGCAAGCAAGCCGCTCCAAGTTGTTGTTCAACATGTTCTTGTTGTGGTATAGCGCAGTCATAGCTTTCCATTTCCAGGTGCTAAGCAGTAAGCTCAAGTCAAACTTGAAACCAAGGTCGTCATTCACTTTTAAGCAATTAAGGTAGCTGGAAACTATAATACATGTAAGCTTTTCAAATTGACCCTACTTTCTTGGATGTGAAGTGTGCGTTATCTTCATTGTACCAGGTAGAGATGAAATGGCCAAAACAAGTAGCTGGTCATCATCAATATTGCGGAGTAATAAGCACCTCAACATTAATTTTTGATACTTGGGGGTGATTTTTGTGCAAATTGCCTGTTACTTTGTTCAATATGGGCCACTAAGAGAAATCGGCCCGAAAGTTTTCGCTTTTGACTATGTTTTAAAAATTAACTCTTCCAATTGTTTCAGGTTCTACTTCAAAAGCTAAGAAAGTGACTGTTCACCGCAAGCAGTTTTTTTAAATTCCTTACCAGTTACATGTACCTAA